ACCAAATGGCAAATATTGACCTCGCTATGCACGTAAATTGGTACTGCTTTTATCTTGTTCTTACGCAAAAAAATAAGTGGTAAAGGAGCGTCTGAAAAACAGTTTGAAAGTGGCGAAAAAAAAAGCAAGACTGGAACTTAACAAAAATTCATCATTCTCATTTGATGCCTTCATAGTATTTTTTATCTTTCGGGGTTCTCGAAACTGAAAATATTAAGTAATAAAGTCACGATTATCGATTATTAATTCGATTTTATCTCGGAGCACAGACAACCATTTGGTCACGGAATACGAAGAATAATTTGTGGAATTCACGATTCACGAAAAATAAAAACGGGTAATCACATATCACGAAAATACCCCGGTACGACCTTCTTATTCATTACTCCAGTTGTGAAAGGAGCTGTGACACGGCTGTCTAGTTGATCATTTGTTTATAATAATGCCAACAACACCTCTTTTTTGTTATGGAACTTGAGACAATATGTTCAAACGTTCAAAGTTTTCTGAAAAACCAGAATTGCAGTCCGTTTCACGTCCTCTTCAAGTTTGTCCATCCGTTCCTTCTTTTGTATTTGCTGTGTTATTTATACCTTTTTTTCATGTTTTCAAGAGTTTATTTAAATGTTTCACTCCATCTGGTGACGGTTTCCACTGTTTGAATAAATTTCATGACACAGCTCCTTTAACCCTTTTCGGACGGCTAGGGTCATGAAAACGACCCATATGGAACGATGTTAATACATTCCTCCCTGGACCTATTTAGCTTTCAGTTTAAGTTAATAAATTGGTGAGAAACAACGTCAGCAGAGATATATCTTTCCATGGATATTCTTACCAATCCTGACAGAGTTACACGCACAAAAAAGGTAACATTTTGAGGAAAAATCCAGGGCCAATTTCGCTCCTTACATACTACTCTTTGAAAATTAAATTTGTCCCTTTCCTAAAAAGTTAGCCAGCCACAATTCCATGCAAAGGAAAGACGATAAAGTGGGCAACAAAACCACCAATAAAGAAGGAAAAGAAGGAAGAAAAGAGAGCGAGTGAGAAAGATCGAAAAAGGTTCGGAAAAAACAAAAATGTCCAAATTTGCGCATGCGTGAAAAACAAAAACGCTGTTTAATTACGTCAGGTTAGTCGTAAAATACCGTAAAATTCCGAAAATAAGCC